GCTAAAGGCATCCTCTAAATCATCCTAAAATTTCATCAATTTTGAAGGTGCCCAACGGGGTCAAATTCACCCCTAAAGTCCCATCCGCGGTTTATAATACTGATTTTTTTTCTCGAAAACCGTTAGGGCTTACGGTGTTTTGAAAATTGATAAAAATACTTAGAACTGTGTTCTATTATGTGGTAGAATTTGGTTTAATTCGAAGGTGCCCATCAGGGCGAAAACATCCCTTTTTCGGGGGTGGGGGTTGAAACAAATTTTTTTTACCAAATGGGGGTGGTAAGCTGTTCTTGAGGGTAAGAGTGACCTCTGTGTGAAATTTGGTTACCCAAATCGTATTAGTTACGGAATTATTAATGTTTTAAGTTTATTGCTGGGATTTATGGATAACTTCACACCAGTAAAAATGTCATGATCTCGTTTTTCGAGAAACTGCTAATGCCGAAAACCTTATAGCACTATCCTCTTTTGTTTTTCCCCTAGAGGCCAAAATTGAAAATATCGTAAAACCCGCAAATGTAATTATCTTGTTTATTATTATAGGTGGAGTATTATAAGTAAGACATTATATGGACACTTTTTTACAGAGAATTTCATGACGTAGTCAAATAAATTTTGTCGGTTTTAGATTTTGAGATATTATCACAATTTTCGTTTTTTTAAAATGGAAACAACCACTGATTATTCGCTTAATAAATTCGTTATTTTTTTCTGATTACAAAAATATAGGGTTTGATAGGTCTATTTCTTATTGTTTTAGAATAAAACTAAAAATAAACTTTTCTTTTAGTGTTGTCAAAGAATTCAGTTTCCTGTAATTTACAGTTTCCTGTAAATTTAGTTCTATAATTAAAAATTAAAAAGCATATTTCTGATATTTGAAATAAATATATTTGTTGAACTGTTTACTTTATATATGTTTTACACAAAAGTTGGACTACATTGCATTATTTCACATTTTTTATTACGATTTAATATTATTTTTTAAATGACTTAATAAATTATCGATAGATGGCGCTCAAATGTTTTTTTTTTAATTCAAATAAACATAGCAACATTTGTTTGTATCATAGATAACTTATATAGATGTGACATTTACGTAAAATTTTTGTACACAGCACCAGCGCTCCGAACGGCTCGGACCAATACTAATATTAAATAGCGGCTAACGTGATAAATCTTAAATATAAAATTTTCTAATTTTTTTGTGTGGAATTAAATAAAAAAAATAAAGACATTTGTGGATTTTAATAATCTTTTTATTAAAATTATTATCATAACCATAAAGTCTTATTTTAATATAAAAGAACAATAACTATAAACAATGTGTAATGATCTAATGATTAATGATAC